CTAGTTAAGTATAAATTATCTTTCCCACCCTATGCAGTTTAAGCCATGAAATAATGTTCCTGTGAAAATCTTAAACAAAATGTTTTATTTAAAATGTCCTGTTTTTCAAAAAACACACATTTCAGTGGAAATTAAATCTTTCCCCAAAAATTGTTTGTTCTGACAGTACTTCTTTTAAAAAGCCAATATTTAAAATGAAAGGTCCTAATTAATGCTAATATTAACTGTTCAAAATAAAATAAAAATAGGAAATTTTTGGTCTTGTTTTGTCCTGTATAGGAGTATTACTGGATGGCACTTTTTTCCCATTCTTGGAAATAAAAGATGCCAATACATAACAAACATGGAAGTGGGGGTTGGCTTATGCAATTATGTAAGATTTATCATAACTCTGAGAAGAAACCTCCAATGAAGTATGTCTCAATTGTGAAAGCTGGAAGACAAAGAATGGGGCAATTTTGTCTTCTACCTGTAAGAAGATAGTTTTGTTTTTTTCACCACACATCCCATGATACTCTAAATCCTTCACAGGGAAAGAAGCAGATGACAGGGCAAAATAGTTGCTACTAACAATGGCTCACCAAGAGTTTAAAGAACCAGAAATTCTAACACAAAGTTATTCAAAAGTCACACTAGTAATTTAAAAGTTTAAGGTACTTACAGCCAGCATGTGTCTATTTTTCATACATACAAGAAGGCCAATAATCAGAGTAATGATTCTGTTATAAATCTTGCTAAAACACAGAACATGGATACCTTAAAATATCTATTGATACTGATACTATTGTAAATGGTATCATAATAAAGTGCCCATTTATAATATAATTTTTTTACTTGAAGTAGCATAAAAACTCCAGTCTTGTATTGCAATTAGTTGAACTTAGGCTCCAAAGAAACAATTACAAAAGCAGGACTCTAGAAAAAGCACTCTATAACTGCATCTTGGTATGTATGTCTTCGGATCAGAAAAGCATTAAATGGTTTAGTCTGAAAAGAACCTTAGAGATCACTTATTTCCAGACCCTCTGCCATGACCAGGGACACTTTTTACTAAGTCAGGTTGAGCAAAGCTCCATCCAGCTTGTCCTTGGACACTTCCCAGAATGTCCCTTGAACAACTTCTCTGGACAGCTTCATCCAGTGTGTTGCTAACCTCACCATAGAGAATATCTTCCTTATATATAGTCTGAATCTAAATTCTTTAAATTTTTATTATCATTTTTCTTTAAGATTTTATTACCACTTGTCTAATTACCACATCCTATTCTAAAAATTGGTTCCCATCTTTCTTGAAAGCCCCCTTTAAGTACAGAAAGGCTGCTATAAGGTGTCCCCAGAGCTTTCTTTTGTCCAGGCTGAACAACACTACTCTCACAGCCTGTCTCCATAGGAAAGCTGTTGCAAGCTTCTGACCATTTCTGTGGCCCTCCTCTGGACCTGCTCAAGTGGATTCATGCCCTTCCTGTACTGCTGACCCCAGATCTGGACACAACATGGCAAGTGGGGTCTCACTAGAGTGGTTCAGAGAAGCAGAATCCCTTCTCTCACCCTACTGGCCACACTGGTTTGGATGAAGTACGGGACACATTTGGTTTGCTGGGCTGCAAACCCACATTCTTGGCTTTTCTTTAACTTTCCATCCACCAGAACCCCCAAGTCCTCCAAAGGGCTGCTCTCCATCTGTTCCTCTCCCAGCCTATATTGATAATAGGGGTTGCCTCAACAAAGTTGGAGCACTTGGTTTTGTTAAACCTAATGAGATTCCCATGTGCCCACTTCTTGAGCTTGTCTAGGTCTCTCTGGATGGCACCCTGTCTTTCAGGTGTGTCATCTGCAAATTTTCTGAGGGTGCACTTGATCCCTCCATCTGTGTCGTTGATGAAGACAATAATTTGAATTCTTCCCAATATGAACTCCTGAATGACATCATTTGCCAGTGATGTCCAAGCAGTCATTGACCCATTGACCACCAATTCCCTGGGTGTGACCATTCAGACAATTTTTTAGCAACTGTACAGTCCACCCATTTAATCCACATCTTTACAATTTGGAGAGAAGGATTTTGTGGTTTAATGCAGTTTAGATTTTAGTTCAGGAAAAAATCCAATCAGCTGGCTAGTTTTGAATATTGCAACTCTGTTAAACCACTTCAGAAAGCTGAATACGCCTCTGTGAAAACATATCTAAAGACAAAAAAGGCCTGGGAAAATCTCTTGATTCCGGCCTTTGAACATGAAACTGGACACCGGCTGGGCTAGGCCCCGCTCTGCTGCACAGCCCACGGGACCTGGCAGGGCCGAGCCAGGTCCCGCTTTGATGCAGCACTGCCCGGGCCAGGCCCCGCTCCACCACACAGCCCAGCTGGCTCAGCTGAGATTCTGCTAACACTGAGTTCCAGCCACGGCCGGCAGCCAGGCCGGTTCCACTCGGCTTTGGGCAGAGCCGAGCCAGGCCCCAATCCAGCGTGAGCTGACAAACCATCCTGCTGGCACCACAGAAAATAATGCGGCTAAGAACAGAGGTGGCCCTGCAGCCCCAGGTAGAAAGCAGCCCCACTGCTGGAATTGAGTGCAGCAGGGGCCAGAAAACAGCCATGTAGGCAGAGTGGCAGAGATCACATCCAGAGGCCCGGGCAAGATATCAACTCTTCTAAGTGCACAGATGAAACCTGCAGACCTCAATCTTCTCTTGAGTGAGAAAAAATGGAAAGAGTGAAGACATGTCAAGAACACAACATAGAGACACCAAGGTCAGATGGGAGCAGAATGAGTAGACACCTTAATCTTGGGCTGAAATTCTCTTGTAAGCCTGAAGATATAATTGATACATAAGACTATTTTTCCCCCTGTAACTCATGAAATGCATTGGGGGAAGTGGCATTCTAACCACAGCCATGAGCAGAGGCACCCGTGTTGAAGCAAGCAGATGTTAAAGTAACTGTGATCCAATGAGAAGCTTGAACAGAGAGCAACAAGATAGAAAACCTTGCCCCAGTAAAACCTCTGTTCCCAGAGATAAAAGAAGACAACCTTTTGTTTCTGTACTGAAGCAGCTCATCCTTAAAATGGTACCCCAATAAGCTGAAATGACCACCCGTGGTGGCAGTGATGGGAAAACTACCAAACCGTGGGAGAAACTTCATGATTGCAGATTTCCAGGTGGCTGCTGTCCCTGAAAATTCAAACAACAAGAGAAGAGTTTCTTGTGGAAAAATCTCCATGGCATGGCAGGGGAGACTCTTCTCCATAAGTGCACTGATTTAAAAGTGGTAAACTGATTGAAAATATCTGATTTGTCAAAGAGACAAATTCACATTGTCTGTGAAAACAATAAAAAAGGAAGAGCTGGGGAGAGGAGAAGTGTTTTGAAGGTTTATTCTGATTTCTTATTATTTTTCTTTTAATTCTCTTTAAAAAGTTTTTTATGTCTTTTAAAGTTCTGAGCCTGCTTTGCTCCCCTCCTAATCCTTATCTCACAGCAGAAAATGAGTATATAATTCTGGGTGCACTGGCGTTTGGCCAGCACTAGACCCAGTACACATATCAAAGACCTTACAGAAGTCCTCCCTAAATCCACAGCCCTTCCTTTGTCCACTGATATAGTAACTTCATCACAGAAGGTTTGTTCAGACAGTTCTTTTCCTAGTGAAGATGTACTTATTTCTCTAATCATCTCCCCATCTTCCAAGAGCCTTAGCAGAGTTCCTAAGAGGATTTTTTCTGTGAATTATTGTATTAATAGACAATAATTCTTCCAATATCACTGCCCACAACTGGAAGTATAGAGGAAAAAATAGCTTCTGTGCCAGCTTTCCTCACCAGATATCCCAAAACCCAGAAGTGTCTCTTGATCATCCTTGAGCTATATGTTGCAGCATCATCACTGCCAACACGGAAAAGCAATAATGGACAATAGTCTAAGGGACATATCAAGTCATGAAGTTTCCTTGGAATTGCTAGGAATTATGGGATAGAAGAATGGCTGTAAAAATAGAAGCTTTTTCCATAGGAAGACTGCAAACAAGTTTATTTACATGGGGATCCTTCTGTAGACTATCCAAAATCTAATCTGCCCATTTATATTTTGTGAAATCTCTCTTACCTTCACAATGCTTCTACTCTACATCTCCTAGATACTGTTCCCTTTTACTACCTTTGATTCTTTTCATTGTCTCTTTGCAAGTTTACCCTTTCCAAAATTAGCTTACTTTCTAAAAGAACAAATATATAGACTTTCCACACCATATTTCATGTCTGTGTTTTCTGTTCATATTAAAAACTCTCTGTGGGACAGACCATCCTTTCTCTGATGGATGTTTTGTGGATGTCTTGGCATTGCTGCAGTGAATGAGCTATCTAAAACAGTGGAACATAGTAGTTTTGTCAAAAGAACAAAGTTCTCTTTATTTACCCAGTTCCTGTGCTTGGTGGAAATTTAAATGAAAATGAATATTTAATTTTTGGCTTCCAAGTAAATATAGCAATAGGTTTGCTAGGGCAAAATGCAGTTTTCTATGTGGCATAAATAGAAATGCATGAAAGTACAAGTTCTGCTTCCAAAGAATTTGCTTTTTCATAAGTTAATTTTTTTTTTCCCAGAAGTCAGACTAGGGAGAAAAATGCTCTCCTCTTTCTCTAGCAATCTTGAGGTAATCCTGCAATTGCACAATTTTTCTGAGAGACGTTAAATCTCACCAATGGAAGAATTCATCAACATTAATTTAACTGAAGAAAAGGAAAAGATTTTGCACTGGGTTATAATGGAAATTCTGAAAACAAAAAGGTATTCGCTTTCCATATTTGATTTAAGCTCTACTGGGACAAGAAAGCACTGATCTGCAAAACCATTTACCTCCACTTACTTTGAGAATACCTCCTGGGGAAGAGACAGTAGAGGTGGTCTGAAGTTAATTTTGTGAGTAGGTGCAGAACTAAAGTGAAAGTTCAGAAAAACAGTGCAAAGCAGGACAGCAGATATTCATTATGGAAATCAAACCATACTTCAGGACAGACAACTTCTTTTTCATCTTCCATGGCTTGTTTCGTAGTGTGGCAATGAGTTTCTTTTTTTCTTCTACCTCTTCTTTCAGCTTGGCCAACTCCTCCTCTGTAATTGGCTCCTCCTCAGATTCAGAATCAGACCTTCAAACAAAAGCAGGAATGAAAAACATCACCAAAACTCAGATAGGACAGAAGTTTTCACAGAAAAGTATACTTTATGTTAATTTCTGTTAAATTTGAGACTAGACAAATGCCTTCACATTTGCACAGAAGTAACGACACTCTTCATTTAGAATTGTTGTTATTAATTTTAGTATGAAAAGCAAAGCCTTCACGCAAAGTGCAGAGCTGCAGGTGAACCAGCACTACACCTTCAATATCACAGGGACAATGAGCAGCACTATTGGGGTAAAATGTGACAGTATGTTATTGTTTCAGCTGTAATCAGCCTCCTAAGAGTCCAACTCAAATTCACAATGGTCAAGTGCAGCCATATGCAGCCCTAAAAGCAAACTCCTCCAGTTTAGTGTGTCACAGTAGAGACAAGAGACACCACAGCTTCAATTAAGACAAATTTAAACACCAAATGACAGCCTATGCACTTACTAAAGCATTAACATTTCATAGATGGGAAAAATTCAACACCATATTGCAGCAAGACCATGAGAAAGCAGCAAGCACTCAAGGAAAGTAGGTGCAATTGTAATGGTGTCTCCAGGTATGTTGTGTCTGTAATCTGAACTTATTATCCATACATCAGTCTACAGTATCTTTGCAAAGAATTGCTGATTAAAACAATATTCACTTTCCTAAAATCTGCATAGATACCCCTTTCTGTGAGCAATCTTACTTCTCATATAATGGCATGTAGCAATTCATTAGCAACAGGTGTTTCCTCTTTTTATAGCAGTGAGCAGGAAAAGGATAAAAAGGAAATCAATAGATTGACTTTCTGCCCTAAAAATCTGACAGTGACAACTACCATTGAGTGGCCTCTTGGTGATAGTAGTTTGATGCATTTCTACCTGTTCTTGTTGTGCTTTCTTTAGCTTCTTTTGTTCATTTGCTTGCTTGTTTATTTGTCTTCTGAATGTTTAAATCTGTACTCCAAGTTTATTTGGAGTTTTTTAATGGTTTTCTGACTTGTTTGGAGAAAATTCATTCTGACTTTATCAAGCAAGTAGTTTTCAGACTTTTTTGCACATACTTCAACCTTTCTGAAAGTCTGATAACCAAAATCTGATTTAAGAGCTGAATGATTCATTACCTAATGCATAGGTTCTATCTCCTGAATAATTTAAAAATTATTTAACTGTTCTTCACCAAAACAGATAAAACTGGTCTCTTTAGAGATTTAAATTATATAAATGACACAAGAGTTTACCAGCAAGAATATTTAAGGGTTTAAAACAAACAAATAAATTAAAAGCAAAATACTTCTTGAAATACAGTAAAATACAAACTTCTTACTGGTCATTTACCTATAGTCTTCACACATTTTATTCAATTACAGCAAAAGATTAGGGGATGAGCTGAAAACTTTCAGACACAGAGAAGTTAACAAAGGAAAGAAAGAGGCTTCCATAGCTGTGGGCCAACCTGCTATTAAAGGTTAAAATGCTATTTATTATCACAGAGCCATAGAATGACAGAATGGTTTGGCTTGGAAGGCATCTCAAAAATTATCTCTCTTCAAGCCTCTCTGCCATATGCAAGTATGCCATTCACTGGATCAGGTTGCTCTGGACCCCATCCAGCCTGGCCTTGAACACTCCCTAGTTGTGGGGCATGCACAGCTTCTCTGAGCAACTTGATCCAGTGCTACACCATACTCTGAGCAAAGAATTTCTTCCTATCTAATCTAATCTAATCTAATCTAATCTAATCTAATCTAATCTAATCTAATCTAATCTAATCTAATCTTTCAGTTTAAATCCTTTGTCTCTTGTTCTGTCACTATCTGGCCATATAAAAAGTCTTCCTCCTTTTCATAAGCTGCTTTAAGGCATTTGAAGGCCACAGAGAGATCTCCCCACAACCTTCTTGTCTCTAGGCTGAACAATTCCAATTCTCTCAGCCTGTCCTGAAGGAGAGGTGCTCCAACCCTCTGAGCATCATTGTGGCTCATACTGAATAGATGGTCACCTTAGAAAGTCGTATCCATCAGTCTTACCGGTTTGGGCTTCACATGGCAAAAAACTGCATCACAGAAAACTTAAAACTGCATAAAGAAAAACTGCTACTAAACACCATATCTATTTACTGTCATAACAGTATTATGAAGAGCAAGTTGAGAATGGTATGAAAACTGAAGTCAAAAGCATAAAGGATAACAAAGGGATTTGTGCATAAAATTTTGAGGGTGAATGCAAGTAGAATCACGTCTTAGTGAAGAACAGAAGGATTAAAAGAGTCTGATTTGAGTGAGCTCAGAATCCATTGTTACAATCAGCTACTTTGCATTTTACAAAGCAGAGTGCCTGATATTAAATATTTCCTTTGATGGAAGATTGCTGGTTTATGCAAAGCTGAATTTGCTGGGTTACAATGCTGCAGTGAGAGGGTGGGAAATATGAGGGCTTTGTGCTAATGCAGTGAGCTTACTGAGAAAAGGAAGCTTAGCAGAACACAAGAGGTCAAGCCGGGATAATATGGGCTTTGTGCCCTTTGCCAGCTAGTGCTTTGTTTGTCTTAACAAACAGGTCTCATCTTCCATTCTTCACCTTCCTTTGGAGCCAGAAAAATAATTTTAAAAATCTAAATTTCAGAGTTTCTTAAAGAAAGCAGTATTATCTAGTTATGTTCACATTATGCAACCAAACTTGGTAGAGCAACAGCAGAGTTTTCCTTTAGCTCCAGTGGTGGAAAACCATGTTATTCAAGTCAGGAAATCAAAATTCTGTCTTCTGCAACCAAAAGTCTTAGCCTTTTATAGAAGGTTTTTTTTCACGCATTTGAAAGCCAGAAGGGTTCATTGTGACCTGCAGGCTAACATAAAGCATCAAGGGTCAATAAATATCTTGACATCAATCCTCCTTGGCTCCAATTCAATACACATCTAAGTCAGTAGAGCTCTTGAAATCAAGTGCTTTTTCAAGTTATGCACATAATGAACTTCTACATTGTATTCATCTGTAATTTGGTTTTACGATCTTATTATACATCTCTATTTTGGTCTTAGATTCATCTCCTCTTTATGGATGTAATCTACTTTTCTCTTTATTTCTGTGTATAGCATTAAAAATTAGGATGAAAATGTTTTCTTTAAGATAGGATGTTACAGGATAAGACTGGTATGATTTTGAGAATATAGCATGACAATTAAATAAATTTGCTAAACTTGAAATCTTTCTTTCTTCTTTTTTGTGTAAATTCTATTTATACAGATAATCTCCATATCATTGCCTGTCAGTTAATGCTATTCAGTTAGAAAAAAAGTATTGTCTTAATCTTCCATGTACCTCCAGGCTTTCACAGAAGTTTTATACTCTCAAGCCAACCCAATAGAAGTCAGTTTATTTACTCACTGATAGAGCTATGTAGGAAGAATATAATCCCATTCCTAATTTTTTTTCTCATGTGACTGCACAGTTTCTAAAATCAATAAGACAGAATGAAACAAGGCAGTAAAGAACTAAACCCTTTTTTTTAACCCATTTACATCTCTGACCCTCACAGTGAGACTAAAGGAGAAATTTATCATTGATATTTTGGGGCTGATGATCATGAATGGTATAGAGCAGGCCCTCCTCACACCCTCAATAACAGTTAACAATCAGCCTCATCACATCAACAACCATTAACATCTAAGGACAGATTTAAAATTTACCCAGAAAGAACTCCTTTCACCATGGCATTACCCTGGGAAACTCAGTGCCACAAATTAATCAAGAGTGGAATATTAAGTTTTAAAAGACCAAAACAGCTACACCAGAAAATGAATGCACAGTTCTTCTAAGATTTTCTTGTGACCTTTATGTAGAATAAGCAGTGCATGAAGAAGTTTTCCTGATTTAAATGAAAAGCACAGAAGGGAAAGCGGGCAATTGCAGCAGATTCTACTGACTTGTGCTGTGACCTCACCAAAATGAGCAATGTTGGTAGAGTTTAGCAAAAGCCACAATGACAGGAGTATATACAATGTTATCTCTCTCTCAAATAGTTTCACTTGTCTTTTCATTTAGGGAAATGTTTTTTGTGATTTCTTTCTCAACTTCTGATTTTGCTCTTTTCATGGTATTTCATGCTGAAACATCTTTGTAATTAAAAAACTTCATCAGCAAGGCCCATGTTTAAACAGTAGAGAGCATTTGTTGTGATAGGTCCTCACAGACTCGCTAGACAGGCTGTATTTTTATATTGATAACCTTATTTTCCATTCTGAAGCTTCACAAACCTGTATCTTAATCACAGCCAAACTGATCACCACTCTGCTCTCCTTCATTCTTACATTATTTTGTTTTTTCTTTTGAAAATATTTTAAAAAATTCTTACTATTCTGCAATCTTTTCAGCAGGTCCCGTAAGTATACAAATATAATATTCTTGAGTTATTTTTGAGAGTATCCCCAGTTTTTCCTCAAATGTTGTTAGGCTTACTGCTTAAAGAACAAAGTCTTGCTTCAGGTAGCAATTTCAGGTTATTTAACCCAAAATTATGTATTTTAATATTAAGAACTTTTGAAGACAACGAAAAACATTGTGCCTTTGTTCAATTTTCTATTTTCAATGGCCTTTTGAAATTAATGCTGATTAAATGTTTACAATTAAGACAAAAATAAGCAAAGAAGCATAGGTTTACACAGTCAGGATTGTTGCTATGTGAGTACAGGAAACTGCACACAGGAGTATAATTGCCATTACAGTGAAGAGCCATCAGGAAGAAAGATTTTAGGCATTCTCATTCTCATTGGGAAAGGAAATGAAGTAGAAACATATAGAAATGCGATCACAGACAAATTAATACCATAGCATATCTCACTGTATTTTTTTCTTTCCTCTTACTCCTGCTGTGTTTTCCAGTGATGCCTCTGGGAACAGAACAGCTGTTAACAACTGCTGAATGAGGAATGGGAGTTCCTCTCCACTGAGACAAGTGTGCCTAGCTCCATTTGCTCCCTTATATGTTGGTCCCAGGGAGGAAGCTTTCAAAAGCACAAGAAGGGACAAGGAGATGGGATGGCAGAGAAATAGATATGTTTTTCTGAAGTGCTCCCTGTCACTGGAGTCTTCTAAAGACCCCAGGTTGCATTAGATACTTCGGAAAGTTGAAAAGTGACATTTCAGAGAAAGTGAGTGAGAGACAGATTGGAAAATGCCATCTCAGTTTTTGGTTCTGGGGCCTTGAAATTTTGGCACGGATCTTAAAAACCTGGTTCACAAGAATGTGATCTTCTGAGAAGCATCAAGATTTTAATTCTATACTGGAAAAAACTTGGCTTTCTTGGAGGATTATCAGCTTGGGGTTTAGGGCATTTTATTTTTGCAGAAAGAAAAAAAGCAGGGCAGATCTCACCTGTTATCATCTCTCCACATGATTATCTTCTCCTTTGTCATTTTCGCTCCCTTTCTCTAGAAAACAACTCATAAACTTGGGATATAGCTAGATATGACTTTCTGGAAAGTTTTCATTTCACTCAGACATCATTTCCTCATTGCAGGACAAAGAATATCTGACCAGCTCTAATTTGACTGTCACAAGTAAGGGAATCATATTGAATTTTGGTATTTCACAGCTATAAGTGAAAACAGGTTTTATGTAAGATAACTATTGTTTTATTATAAGAAAAAAAACTTAATTACCCTGATCCCGATTTCTTTTTGTCCTTTTTCTTCTTGTTCGCCTTCTCTTTTTTACCTTTTTTATCAGGCTTTTTGTCCCCTTTCTTCTCATTTTTACCTTTCCCACCTTTACCCTCTTTCTCATCTTCCTCTTCTTCATCATCTTCCTTGGATTTCTGGTTTGCCTGATTCTTCCTGGCCTTTGCAGGTTCCATATCAGAATCACTGGCCTCATTTCCAGCCGCTCGTCCTCGTCGACGGTTTCTGTGCCGGCGATGCCCAGCTCTCCTTGTCCCATCTTCATCCTCCTCATCCTCCTCATCACCATGCCTGTCTCTCCCTCTGGCATGTGGCCTTCTGGTTCTTGGTGTTGCTCTCTTCCTCCCTTTATTTGTGATTGATTAAAAAACATTAAAACACATGAAAGGAGGGTACATGTTAGAAAGAGAATTTTCCTCCTCCTTCATTCTTACTAATAATCAGAAAGTATCTGTGTCTGGCCTCAAAGTAATCCACATTACTAACCTGCTCCTTTGGCAGTTTCTTCATTCTCAACTGCACTGCCTTCTTCATTGTCATCACTGCCATCTGTTAAGTGAAAAAAAAAAGGCCAGTCCGTGTGAAGGGTAGATAAATCATTAGGAATTTGGGGATTTCAAGAAATTCCTGGCAATTACGGCTTTGTACTTCTTTACAACATTTTATGAACCCAGACTTTTGGAGCACGGCAAACAGTTTTCAAGAGGTAAGATGAAGACAGAGAAAACAGTTACACTTTCCTTCAGCACTCAAATAAATAAGCCTCAAAGGGACATTGGGAAGAACTCTTTCATATGGAAGCAATATATAGGAAAGGAGAATGCTTTATATAAAATACCCTAAAATTTGGAGAACAATGATGAAAATGCTTCTCAGAAGTTTTTCTGAGATTTTCTTAAACATGAGAGATAAATAACAGGGTGAGATTAAAAAATACTAAAAGAATTTTCTTATTTGACTGACTGGAGGGCATAAAGCTCCAGACCTGCAGCATAGCTGAAGAATGCAGTTCCAGAAGAAAGGATAAAACTTGATCCAACTCACTTGTATGCTCTACCACAAACAAGTTCTATTCTACCACTCTCACACATGAGATTTTTTTTAACATTGAAGGCTGTAGAGGGATGGTCTATTTATAGAAGATTGTAGTGGTTCTCCTTAGAAAAATCTTTGGTTTGTAGTGGATCTCATGCTTAATTTTTCCTTTGCAAAAAGTTCAGTAAGACACAATGCCCGTGCTACCCATCAATAAGCAGAAAAATATCCACTTCAATTGCCTGGTACACTTTGAAACTGCAATCATGGATTTATAGAGAATAAACTAAATAATAAAAATGCTCTCATATGTATTATATCCATATAATATCTAATTAATATCTAATTAATGTGTTCTTTGAAACATATGTTGGTATAAACATATTAGTTAACATGTAAGTAATCTGAAACTGCTTCTGAAACTGCTACTGATATTCCCTAGGAAAGTTTCTTCAGAAGCAATACTTGAGAAGCCAGGTTCTAATGGGCCTTTTTGAGGTTTTTTTGAGCTTGTATGTGTGGGAAAACACTTTAGATATATGGGTGATGTTTATGGAAATAGATGGTAGTAGGAGATTAATAAGAAGAATAACAGAGAGTACAATGAAATAGTAGAAGTAGGTAGCAGTCATTCCACTCCTATATAATCTGTATGTTCTCTATGTATATTGTCCAGTTTCCCCTCTGGACAGGTGAGAGGTGCTGATCCTTAGAGTTACATTTTTCAGGTGAGAAAGTGCAGGTATCTTCCTTTTTCAATCATCTCTAACATTTCTGAAATTTTCTTTATATTCTTTCTTCACACATTCCCTGGTTCCCCAGTTTATTTTACAAATTTTTCTAAACCACTAGCAACTCATTGAAAATTTATTCACAAATTGATTTATTTAGGGACCACTGTGGCTAACTATGAAGGGCAACCTCCTGGCTTTGCCTAGTATCAAAGAAAAGTAGCAAATATGTCAGGCTGCAAACAAGAAGGAATCCAGGGTCTTGTTTCACTGTGTGCAGTAACATTCAAAGTGTTATTAACCAGAATTTAACTGGCATGTTAAAACTGAGTCTAACTTCTCTACACAAAACGTCCATTTGTAATTAACACTTTCTACCATCTCTACAGCATCTGCACCACAATTTTTAAGACTATGCAAAAATATTGTCATTCAATATAATCATTGGAATGTGACAATAAGTGCTCCTTTGTTCCTCCTAGACACATGCCTCCTGCTGCTGACAGTAACAGGATCTCCTTTGATAAAGACCATTGTGCTGCTATTGAAAGCTTGCAAAGATGAAGAAAGACACCTCTAAAGAGATACTTCTCATGCAACAGTAGGGCACTATCTCTTATTGAAACAAATTCTTTGGCTGATCTCCTATGGCCAAACAGAAATTCCCAGAAAAGCACTTTATTGGTCAGAGATTGGCCTCAGAGCAGCCTGATGAGCCCATACAACAAGCAAACAAATGGAAGTTTATCATATATACTGAAACATGCATCAGCAATAAAGTCTACCAAGCTTGAGCTGACATCATATTGACTTAACAAAGACAGTGACAAGGGATTGTGAGGCACAGAGACTTAAACAAGGTAGAAGATAGCTGCTGGAGTCTGTTTAATTCTAGTCACATAACGATAACAAATCCACTACATTGAACATTTGAGATAAAATTCTAAGCTAATTTACAGATTTCAGACTGCTTGGAGAAAGCATTGAAAACACTGCTATGGGTGAACGGTCTGAATATTAAGTTCTGTATGTTGATATTTTTTTAACCTGAATTATCAGGCACATGAGTGATAAAGAACAATTTTTAAAAAAAAATAATAAAAAGCCTATAATCAAACAGAAACAGAATCACCATAAAACAAACCTAGAAAGCATGACCAGTGATTATATGAGATTATCAGCTAGAAGTGGGTACTGTAGACATGCCCAGCAAGCACTAGTACACCTTCAAAATTATGTCTGCAAAGATTTAAAATTGTATCTCCAAACTGAATTTCATATAGAGATACAGTGTGTTAATAGGAAGACTGTTAGAGGGGTGTCCTCATTCTGGTGTATCTACAAAGAAAGAGACCTCTTCTAGGTCCTTGGGTATGACGTTGATGCATGCAGAGAGCATTTTGCTGAAGCTCAAGCTAGAGCTAAAAGTTATTGATTGTGACAGTCGTGATAGCAGTTGGTGTTGTTTACGAGGGAAAAAAATCACTGAGGAGAGGGAATGGAAGAGCTTTGTCACTCCTGAGAACTGTTCTGAACCACATATATGCATGGGTTGATGTAAGCTACACAGCCACCCCACACCACACGCATATTGCAGCTACCCCTGTCAACTTGTAATTCAGACAAGCTACATTAATACTATTTGTGTCTGTTTTGCACTTATTTTTGAAAGACCAGTGTTGATAGTTGGCGGGGTATTTGAGTAATAAGAGATAAATAAACATGTGAGAACGTTATTATTATTATTATTATTATTATTATTATTATTATTATTATTATTATTATTATTATTATTAAACAATTTCAGGTCATAAGCTCTGTGATACTTTCCAAAGAGGAAAGGAACAGGCTAGGCAGCTCACAATGAAGCAAATCAGGCGCTAGTGTAAAAGCCTGTCTCAATGAACTACAGGAGAAGAATTTCAACAATATTCAAACACAAATTACACTTCGTGATGACGCTATATCTAAATGCAGTTTAGCACTTAATTTCAGTATTCTGCTGTAAACCACAACATAGACAAATGGTAGAGTGCATTCCTCAGGTACTGTATTAGCATCATAGAGGGTGCCAAAATATATTTTTTATGCTTTAGTTTGTTAAAGTTAAATTGTAGTATTCTTTGCAGGGAAAAAATCCTCACTATAAAATTCCACGATATGGGAAATTCGTATACTAATCTTGAGAATTTTTAAACAGATCATGTGATCACACTTACTAAAAGGTCAGTGAATCCTCCTGTAAAAACAACTCAGTGTCACAAAAGCACTGTCTAGAATCACTAATTTTTCCAGAAAAGGGTTGATAGAACCCCTTATCTTCACAGTATTTATATTCCTGGGCTAATAGCAGCCTTTGACTCAGATAACTTGAATTAGCGTGACCCAGACCAAAAGCTCAACTGCTACACCTTCCAGGATACATCATCTTGTCCTAATGACAGTATATTTGCATATGTATCATTAAGCATATTTTAAAATATAGCCCATAAGTCCTTTTAGTCTAGGAAATCCAATCACTTTCTTATTTTTTTTTCCAGGTAGTTTAAGGGAAACTTTCTCATCTTTCTAGATTAAGGGCAGTGATAGCGTAATGTAAGTAAGCTATCATTTTACCTGAAGTGTTATTTAGACTATAGCCATAAATAAGACTACAAGACTTAAAGAAGGTGTCCTGAATAGGGGCTCAGACCAACTTGCAAGTCACAAAGCAGAATATCAGACAGCTCAGGAGAAGGCTCCAAACACTGACATGTTGGCTGTTGAGAAAATTATGGGCAGAAAATCATGCATAACACCATAGTCTTTGTTCTATGAGGTGTCTATTTAGCAGATGATAAGAATTGTTTTACCCTTACCTTGCTTTCCCAACTTTCTTGTACACCATCTATCAGAAGCAATTACCCAGATTTCATGCTTTGGATTTTTTTTAAACTTATTCTATACTGATATAGTTTTATGGATCTTTCACTGTGAGAGGGGAAATAATTCTTGAAACACAGTCATAGAACATGGCCCATTCTTGTAAAATCTGTGCTCCCACTACTACTGTGTAAAGCTGATTGCTGCTAAGCAATTCTACGTTTTGGTGCTACTAAAAATTCAGTGGAATGCAAAGTGACCTGTATATCAAAAAGTGCTGACTTTTTGTATACGTTATAAAATAAATTTCTACTTTATTAATTAATTGTCAAGCCAATGAAATGGATCATCTGCCAACAGAGCCTTGTAAAGCAATTACTGTGTTTTCCTCTGAAGTGGATCATGTCTTTTCAGTGATGGAAAGACATCAGCCTAGACTGATAACAAACTAAGTGTTCAACAAAAGGAAATGTCAGAAATGCAAGACTGTTTTAGACAATAAATGCCTGGCAAGTACTAGTCAAAAAAAGGGAAGTGTTATGTAATACTCAGTTTATATTTACATACATTTCCATTTTATTCCTTCTAATCATGGATATACGAGTGTACCTCACAACAGTTCTGTAATAATAAATAACACTAGAAGTAACACCGGTGAAATACAACAGAAAATAATATCTCAAGATGCCACAGAAAGTCTGTTGCAAAAGTGAATTAATGCAGACTTCAACATCCAAGATTTGAGATCTTAACTAGAGACCCGATCCTCTTAGTCACCTTGGCCCACCTTGGGCACATAAGAAGAGAGCTTGAAACACAGAAACCTCAAATAAAAGATACATTTATAGAGTTACCATAATGCTCAACATTAGACTATGCTCTATTTTTCCTCTGTTTTTCCCAGTAAGTGTCACAAATTTTTACTTCCAATGAACAAACATAACTCACACAACTCAAAAAATGTATCCTGGCCAGCAATAACTGTGAATATATAAAGTAAAATAATAATTGCTATTCAGTTTCACACAAACTGGCTAATGTATTGCTGATTTTTCCCATCTAAATTGACAATATCATAAATACCAATATGAATATTTATGTTTCAATGTCATAAGAACACCTGGGTCTTGGAAGACTTACTAGTCTTAATGTACAGTGCTGTGCCCTGAAGACCTATATGCCTGAATTGTTTCCAGAAATTGTCTCTGGGGCAATGGGTTTTCCCTCTCTGCAGTAAAGAAAATTCGCCCACCTAATATTTGAAATGTTTGAAATCAATATTTGAAATGTTTGAAATCAATATTTGAAAAATACAGCTGGGAACCGCAGAGAGCAAATTAAATCCATTCAATTCACATCCATAAATAGCTCATTTGTTCTCCACTGGTAAGAAAAAATTTCTGATTTTCTACTGAAAGGACAGAGACTGAGCTCGCACAGGTCATGTTGACACTGTAGCTAGCATGGGATACATCATCTGATTGTTCTCTCCTCTTTCTGGTTTCCTTCTCGGCTGTACTTACACGTGGCAAGGTTTGATAGCTGTCTCTCAGTTTGAGGGTCAGGACTTCTCGTAGGCTAATCCTCCCTTCAGGGATAAATAAGTTGTTCATTGCATTATCTCAGTGCAAGAACTCTAAAATCTGATATTATTGTTTTAAAGCTTACAAGAGGTAGAAGGGGAAGACAGTCTAATGAGAATCCCCTCAGTATTTCCCCCCCTTCAAGGAAACATGCATAAAAGTTTCCAGGCCTCTGTATTTTACTCCATCTCTGTGGATATACCTGTGTTCTCCCACCTGTGCCCTACAAAGATCTAACCTTGGAGTGCTCTGCCTTTTCCGAGGCTAGAGAGCTGAAAAGCTTGCAGGGCACATCGAGTACTATAATAAAACAAGACACAGCACTTGCATTTGGTCTTCATCACACAATGGGATAGTGGTGGGCAATTTTCCATATTCGTTGCAGTCTTTATTGCAAGAATTAGGATCAGAATATTAAGTGTTTGGTGCACCCTGAGAAGTCTGAGTCTGAGACTGCAGTCTTTTCCAGTTCTGAAATGGGATTTATTTAGCTCATTGTCATTCACTAATAATGATGTTAAAATGGGAAGAACACTTGATAATATGGAGAAAAGAGTTTATATTCAAGTTAAAAATGAAGGCTTCTTAGTGGATGTGAAGTCAATTGTATTTTTTGCTATATCATAAGCTCCTTTAAGGTTGGTAACTAGAGCTGACCAGCTCACCACACATTCTTTTTACTATATTTAGAGGGTAATAGGCACTTTCCAACTGCTCCTTTTTAAAAATCCACTCTTGATGATTTTTGCCCTAGGTTGTCTTTTCCCGTATGAGATGGCAGGAACAATGAATTCACATTTATGAACTCAGCGAAATGAGCCATACACCTCCTACTATTTTAGACTTTGAAGCAGACATGCTGTGAAACAAGGAGAATCACCAAACCAAGAATGGTTTCACTAGAGATAAAGATACCAAAAAGCAAAAATGCATTATTTGAAACTTTTGCAAGAATATTCCTCAGGACTGTCAGCAGGTATGATACAAAACCTCCTGTAAAGAGACTGCAACTAGATTAGTTCTTGAACTCCATGCTATATAAGTCCAGTTCCTGGAATTTTTAAGTTAGAAGTGGATTGAGAACTACATTCTGGAAGTGTCTCATAGTTATTTGTAATGGAAGTCCAGCTTTTCTAATGTTCTGAAATAATAACGCAGTCCTAAGTTTATTCACATGACCTCATCTCCAGATACACACATAACTGTCATTAAGTTTGTTAGGTTTTATTACAAATTATACATACAAGATACATTTTCATGGGAAAAAAAATTGTCCAAGAGTGATCATGATTCAGCAACAAAAATCTTTACATTCTCCAGGTAAAAAGTGTGCAGCATTAGCTTGCCATGGGAATGATATCCTCTATTATTCAAATGAATAATAAAGTCACTGAATCACAATACAAGTCAATTCAGGTATTTTCCAGTAAAAGGCAGATGTTTACAGCAAACTTAGAACCTTGTTAGTCTTAGAATTTGTTCATTATAAATGCTTAAAAAAATGTATATGTTTTATGGTCATGCGCATAATGTTTCTTATGGAGATAAAATTTTTTTTTAAGCCATTAAGTATTTTGTCTATACTGCATTAAATTCTGTGATTTTCTTCTCTTAAAATGAGTTCCATTAGCATATACTTGAAAATTAAATTGGTCAGTAAAGGGGGTTGTAGAAAAAAAATGAGGTGAAGAATAATAAGAGGAGCTCAGATAATAAAAGGAAAGCAAATTGGATAGACTTTAAACATGAACTGCCTGTTATATTATGTCAAAATGCTCAGCAGTCCCTTCTGATGTTATCTATTGAAGTAGAACGTATTTTATTACTATTGTGTGTTATAATTATGGATTAAAAGTCTAGAAAGCCCTGTTTAGTAGTACCAGGTTTGGTACTTAGAAAGACCTAAAGAATAAGGTCCCTGGAAATTTTCTTCCATGGTGAAGACAAGAAACATCATTCTTGTTGCATACAACAGAGATCCTTGCTTTAGAAAGAGTAGCACTGCTCATGAGAACTGAGAGCACTTCCCATATTAGACTTGCCTTGCCACATTGCCAGAAAAAGCCATTAGACATTATTACCTTACAAAAACATTTCTTAGATCCAGAACATTGTAGCATTAGTATAGAAATACTGTTAATCTTACCGTGAAGAATTTTTTATATTTCATTAAAAAAATACTGAAAGCAGTAAGAAAAGGAGGCATTGTTTTTGTGCACCTTACAGAAGCCACAAAATAGCAACCGTTTTCTTAGTCTTTCCTACAAACTACATGTAAGTGTAAGAAAAGTAACAGGGCTGTAGCCACAGCCTTTTGATTCTCTAATCAGTGGAAAGCCACACTACCATGCTACAACTAGTCAACTTCCAAATAAAACATAATTCTGAATAAAAGTTAATAAATTGCGACTAACAAGATTTTATATTAAAGTAGAAGAAAACAGAATTTTCACACTGTTGAGCTACATGCAGAAAATGAATATGTGCTTAAGTTGCATAATTATATTTGTAATTACCATTTCCTTCTGTTGACTTGTCCTGTTTAGTCATCGTGGTATTTCACAGGGCTGCTTCAGGTGCTGGATATACAGGAAAATATCAGAAGGCTGAGTGACTCACGATGAAGCATACCTCAATATCATCCTGCTTGTCACTGAACGGATGGCGCTGGTGAAGTTTCACTCACTGAAATACAAGAAGATACTAATTTCGTAAGTGATAAATCTTTCATGAGTGTTTAGTTTGCTATTTAAGTTTGGCATGCTAGTGTTAAAATAATCAAAGAAGTTATTAATCTTATTATTATTGCTGAAAAAAACTCTTCTGCAAGGTACTTGCCTATGACTAACACTAGTGTTTAAGTGTTTAAGTGCCTTACTGAGGAAGGAAGTTGCACAGTGTCCACATCAGTATGCTCTCATGCTGTATTCAGACCTACAGTTCTGCACGTGAAGGAAGTTATATAGATTATTCTTCTGTCACAAAAGTCAGCTTTTACCATAGACATGCTTAAATTGCATCACTTTAATAGAACAGCCTGACACTGATTTTAAAAATCTTAGCAAAATGAGACAGATCGTGGTTTACATTTGCACCTCCTTGAAGTTCTGTTAAGACTCTTGTTTCTGCCTTTATATTCAGGTATTACACCCCAAGTTTACCGAATTTACCCAGATTGGCTTATTATTTATTGCTAAATTAACAGTGAAAGAAAGCCAAAATGCAGTTTACAAGACAAGTCAGGTGGAAGTAAAATCTGAAAGAATATCTTACAAATAAAGCAACGTGAAATACGATTCTTGCAATAAGTATTTGTATTTAACTTGATAATTCCATCATAACTCTCCATCTGAAATCCTTTCAGTGTGGCCCAGCTGAAAAAGAGTGTAAGCATCTGCAGAATAGCTTACCTTCTCAGATGCTCCTTAGTGGTGTCTGGATCCTCTTACACACAGGGCTGTGAAAGCCATTTTTTTTCCTTTGGAGCTGTCATTTAGGTGTGTGAAGGAAGTTTATCTGGAAATTAATCCAGTGAGGCTGACTACTTTATCTTTTAATTTTCAAGCTTTAGCACAGACTTGAGGGTTTTTTTGTTTGTCTTGTTTTGAAACATATTGCTATTTCTCTTAGAGGATTAACATTGTATGTTTGAAATCTTCCCCAAGAGATTAAGCTTGCCTTTACAATTTGAAGAGTCCCTGTGCTATAAAACATGTTTTCTGAACTAGTATTATTCCTTTTTGCTGCATTCTTACATTATTCATTACATAATATCCTAGATCTTGTGTTTTTGTATACTTGGGAAAGACTTATAATACAAAACAAGAAATTTAGGAAAACATTCAAATAATCTCTGAATATCCCTAGTGAGACTACGTTTTAAGTATTCAGAAAAGTAATAATAGTGTTCTAAAAGTTCAGTTGAAAGGCTTCTATACTTCTTTAATAACAGAAAGAACTTCTTGGGAAGAATGATGATCAGGTTTTTGCAAGTACTTGCAAAAGGAAGCAGTCAAAAATTCTAACAAGACATTTTGTAGTTGCAGTCAAAATGGGATGATAGCACTGGTCCTGTAAGCCTTCTTCAGGATTTAAAATTAATAATACCTCACTTACATCTATTAGCCACATTGGAAAATATTTTACTGGATATATGAAAAGGAAAGGGACAAATATTGAATGCTGACTTATCCATCTTACCCTACAAAACTACAAAACACAAAAATAAGAGATGTAAAGGTAATATTTTAAAAGATACATAAATAAAAGAATTACACATGCAGTCTGAATGTTGTCTGCGGGTGAATATTTGCTATGACATACATGAATTGTACATTCCACTTCATGTGTTTCTCAAGGTCTCCTGACTCAGTCAGCAATCAGATTTCACTAATTACTTTTATCACAGTACTTGCTAATGTTTCCAGTCTGGTTTGTGGTTTATATTTGTAGAGTTAAAAGTTTCTTTAAGTTCCACTACTTGCTGCTCTCAGCAGTATGTCACTGTGGGGCTGCAGTGCAGACTGGATCACTAATCAAAGCAAATAATCAGTTTCTTAAGTCAGCTTAATGCAGTGATCCCATCCACAACACAGTCCAAAAACAATTGTATTAGCACAAGAAGAAGTAGTCAAATTTTGACATGATGTGGGAAAGGGCAGCCAGGGTCAGGAGACAGGAGACAGGAAGAGGGTGTGAAGCTTTGAAGAGTGACTTGTCACTGGAGCTAACATAGCAAGGAGATACATGCTAGACTTCCCTTTACCCTGGGAGTTCACATACTAATCAGAGATTGAGAACAGTTTTTATTTACACTACGTTCTCTTTACAGCACATAAGCCTTGAAAGACAAAAAAGCCAAACCCCCCCCAAGAAAACTAACCAAACCAAACCAAATCAAACCAAGCCAAATCAAGTAAATAAACTAAAACTCAAGCAAACGAACAAACACCCCAAATCACTTTAATTTAGCTCCATACCATAGTAGTGAAATCAGAACAATACAGAATGCTATTAACAAATAAAAAAGGATGAAAATAGTCCCACTGCAGACAGGTTTAGAGAACTGGCCTTAGTCCTGACTGAGTTTGTTGAACATTGTGAAAGCTTCCATTGTTGGTAAACATGTCATATTTTATTCCCTTTGTTCAAATCTGCATCTCTTTGTAAGAAACATTTATTATATTTTCCAAGAGCTGAATCATGCATGGTAGGCAAACGCTGAAAATGGCAATACACAATTATCTCTACCTAGCTGAAAACTCATAAGAAGAAGTGGAATGTTCTGGCCTGCATACACTCTGCATATTGCTGAAGTGATAGCCATCTACAGTGCCACAACCTATGTGCAAAGAACCATTGTCATTTCCTTCTTCATACTTCTACATAGCAGCTGAAAACCCTTTCTACAGCCATGAAATGGACTGAGTATTGATTTTTACATGTTTCAAGGTGAATTTTTCCTCTGTTTCTAAGCTTAATGCAAAGCATAAGGCAATATTTTCTGACAGACTTTGTTAAAAGTTACTCTTTTCAGGAGGGAATTTTAAAGTATCATTTTGTTTAGAGGGACTCAAAATGTATATTCTTCCTGTCAGAAGGACATGATAAAATCAGGGAGCTCTGGAAGGAGATACAAAAACAGTCTGAAGGCATGGCACTGCCGTCCTGCTAGCAGAAATCTCTTTTTCATTCTAATATACTACTTAATGTAAATCTTTCCCTAACTTTGCATTCAAATGACTCGGATGAGTCTGAACAGCATTAACTGGTAAGTCTGTGCCTACTACCCTCATTATCCCACATCTTTTAACAGTTGAGTGGATGAGCAGCAGGAGGCTGCACCAGGAAGAGGCTGAGGTGGGATGAGGTCAAAATTTCCCCCAGAGCAACCAGCCTGCAGCAGGGATAGCCGAGCAGGGAGGTGACACTGGCACTGGGGGGACCCTGGTAAGGGCAAGGGTGAAAGGCACAATCAGATGACAAATCAGACTGATTAATATCATGTCAGAAACTTCCAAAAGCTGAGTTGCGTTCTCTTTGAATATTAATTCCCAAGTCAATGAGGTGAACATTGATTAGGGAATGCCATTAACAGAAACGCAAGTAACATTGTTCTCATGCCTCACTGGTATTGACTGAGAAAAGTGTTACAGCTTACATCTACTTGTAGAGAGAACTTTATTTGTGCAGAGATATCTGCATCCCTTGTGAAAAGGAAATTTAACAACTAAATTAGAAAAACTACAGGGAATGCCAACAGACTTTTACAATTGTTGTTTCTAAAGCCATTTGTAATTGCTCTGACATTTCTGAAATACTGTATTTCACATTTTTCTAAAAAACTGGAATTTAAGCTAAAAGTACAGCTGGATGTAATTTTCATTAGATTCTCATGGTAGGCAAAAGAACAGGGTTGAGAGATAAAACATCAAAAGCCTCACAAAAAAGGCATTTAAAAAAATCTATTCAATTGATGTGAATAAAGATATTTGGGTGATAAGATTTAGAAGAATTTATCCAAATTGGTCTTGGTCAATGAATCTATCCTGCTCTATTAGTAATCGAAATGTCTTATTACAACCTCAAAACCCACTTTAAAACCCTAAATATTCACTAAAACTCCTTTTTTTTTTTAATTTAGAAAAGCAGATATTTAGCAGAGTTTCTACAGACCCATATGTTAGCTCTTTGCACCACTTCTGGAAATATTTGGGAATTTCATGTGAAGATATGCATATATATTTTTCCCTAATGATAACAGTACATAGAATTAAATAATTATCCTTAGAATCATATTCTTGTCTTTGGTCTAGCCAAAATTAATGGCTGAATGAACTGTCATTAATAGGCCTGCTTTTTTTATTAACCATCAGCAAACAATGACAGCAGAGACTGCCTATGTGACTGCTTGTAGCATCTGCTATGCTAACAAATGGGCACACTGCTCAAATAATCGCATTTACTACTTAGGTGTGGCTGCACCCAATGGAGGAACTCCAGATTTACTTTCATTACTTGAAAAATACTACTGTGCTCAAACCCTGGACTCACAACTGAGGCTTGAAATACATGCTTGAAACCCTATAAACCCTTAAAACCAAAGATATAAAGTTAAGTACTCTTGAAAGAATTATTTGCAACATCCTTTGAGAAAAAAAATCATTAAATGTAATAGACACTAAAGTCTGTCTTAAAGTTACTATGATTTGGACAAAATTCAGCTAGTATTCTAAAAATCTTACAGAAAACTACATCATTATGACATGCTAGTGAGCTTTTCCTCACATAAGTTTTGGTAGTCACTGGAAGACAAAGGCAATTTTACAAGACTTTTTTCAGAATACTCTTGTCCTTGTGTCTTAACACAATAGCATTGTATCATCATTTAGCAACACAAGATCCTTGAGAAAAACACCCCTCATGTTCCTAAGCACAAAGATTTTATCCCTGTAGTGATAAAATGCCTCTATCAAAATTTTAAATCCGTGGTCTTCCTGGTCCTCCAAGCCCTGGCTCAGTCTTCTAATTATCCCCAAGAGGAGGTGAGA